AAGTGGGAGACCGCTCCCTCCAGCATGAGCGAACCCTTTCGGAACTGGTTAAGAATGGGCGCAACTATCTCAGCCCGGAGACTGGGAACGCCAATTAAATGCAAGAAAGTAAAGTAGTACGTAAACAACATCTTTCCTTAATCGTTAGCATGAATTGTCGAAAAGGGCTCAATATGACAAGAAGAGGCAACAGACACATGGAAAGTATCATACAACTAGAGCCTCCCGGCGATAAGGGTCTTACCTTGGAACAAGGACCTTGATGGTTTTAAGGCACCGTAAGAAGTACATGTAACACACAAAATCGCCAAAACACCATGCGGTGTCAAGGGCAGTCAATCAAATGCATTCCAAGGAAGAGAAATGCATCGCCAAGCACTTGGTCACCAAAGGATTGAACAAAGGACAAGCGACAAGCCGAACACCAAGAAAAACCAAGAATGCTTAACATTAATCAAACAAGGAAAAGACAAAGTTGGCTTATAACCAACTACCCGATGAAGATGACGAGGTCGCTAAATTGGAAACCTGACCCGACCTACTGAAGGGAAAGAACATACGAGAGTCTTGACTCATCTAGAGCTCGTACTTAAGGATCAATAACACTGTACGGTGGGTCATCCTATGTATTCGAGTCCCTTTTATTGTGCACATGGGCATGCGGCTTGTCGGGACTGGAATCTGTGCATTCTTGGGATTTTTCCCGAAGGAATTCGCCCTTCATAGTCACCTTCTCGCGGGTCCCCAACGGGACCTTGACGGGGCCCTGACAGGAGCTTGGTAGGCGGACGACCGCCCACCTCGCGCCACTGGTACAATGTGCTGATTTCTTAACTCCTCATTTTATTGATTCATGGCGCACTTCTGTGCCTCGATTGATGAACGTGAGTCTTGGGTAAGGAACCATGGGTCGCCCAAACATGGTGTCATCGGTAAAAGACCTTGACACACAAGACACAGTCGGAAAAGCACAACCGATTGCATTACACGTGGAGTTGAAGTTGGACTCTACGATGCAACCGACTAGGGATGATTGGCATAAAGGATTGTGCAAACCAAGGAGGCGAGTTGGGAACTCGTGCTAAGGACTCACAAAGGCCTTACAAGTCAAAATGCTAAGGATGGATCGGGACTCCTTCAAACCATGGATGACGTTCAAGCAAATCAGAGGACTCCTTACAAGTTGTATGGAATCAAGAGCGACGTAATCCGTGGTGCTAGGCAAAAAGTAAAGAGCACATTGTGCCAAGATCTCAAAGGGTCATTAAGGACCCACAAGGAAATGAGATGACTCGTAAACTCACCGTGTCATTCCACAACGAGATTAGGTAACCAACTGCGCTTCAAGAAGAAAAAGAGCATGCAAGGACACCTTCATCATTAAAAGTAACACAAAAGGGCACAACAACCCGAACCTCGGGGAAGACATGAAGTCTTACTAAGAATTTCATTCCCTAAAGAGGAGATGAAATTCAATAAGAAGAGCAAGTCAACCCAAAGTTATCAACTCCCAAGAAACTTTGGGAAGAATTTGGGAAGTGCGCCCTAAGAGATTGGCTTGGTTGACCACACTTGGTCAAGACCTTGGACGCATTAAAGAAGTAAGTGTTAAATCATCACGGGACCTTTCAAAAAAAAAAAAAAATCATCACGGGAGATTCCCTCAAGATAGGAGAGAAGAAAGAAACTTTAGCCTGGGAAGCAAGGTCTAACAAGGATCTTAAAGTCAAGCAAGTGCCAACACCAAGGAAGAAGGATCATCAATTCGTCAAATACGTCGTGATCAAAGCATCAAACCAGAATAGTCACTTAAGATCGAGAACCCTTAACCCATCCTAGCCGAATTCCTTTCCCTCCCTCGGAAAATTGGCCCCCTCCTTATTTCAAAACCCTTTCTACCCTTCAAACCACATCCTTGATTCCCTATTTTGACGATTCCATACAAGGTGGCAACCTCACCCCCTAAGTTGCAACCTTGAAAACTTTGACCCTAATTCCTGAATCCACTTTGTCCTCAAGTTTGAAACCCACTCTCTTAATCCATTTAACCCAATCGTTCCCAAAAACCCAGTACACATAGATATACTATTATATATTCTCCCCATGGAATACATTCTCTCTATATGACCACCATATTACTTTTGACTCGTTATCCCTGAAATGATTTCTAAGCTTCGGGGACGAAGCTTCTCGTAAGGGGGGGAGAGTGTAACACCTCGTGTTACGGCCTTCAATCCCGGATTAATTATTTAATTAATCCCGTTAATAATAATTAAATATGATTTAATTCGGTTAGGTTTCCCTTTAATTAATTAATAAAGGCCCACCATGAACCGTGGACCCTTGCCTAAATTAGAGTCTTAAGCCTACTAGGAATAAAGAAAGTAAACCTTTTACTATTCAGATTATGATTAGGATTCTCTTTAATTAATTAATATGGTCCACTATGGACCATGGACCCTTATCCCTAAAACAAGTCCTTAGTCCTATAAGGAATAGAATTAGTAAACCCATACCATTCAGGCCCTAATTAGGAGTCTTAAATATATAAATAGGGATCTTTCACCACAATAATCCCTCACCACACAAGAAGTTCCAAGAATCCCCTTAGGAGAAATCAAGAAAGAAGAAAGCTTAAAGAAAGACCCTTCATAGCCAAGGAATTAATTAAGGCTAAGAGGTAACCCATGTCTCAACAAAACCTATTTTCATAGCTATGATTCCCCTCTTAGGATTTCCCCATATTATTATGTATTGATGATTTGTGATATTATTATTGATGATTGGTGGGATGATTCCATGGGTGATCTTGATGATGAGAGGTTCTTAATAATTATGGTGTTCTTGATGATTATATGACGTTCTTGACGATTATATGATGTTCTTGATGATTGTAGGATGTTCTTGATGTTTATGTGATATTCTTACCGAATCTTGATATTAGAAGATGAATTGTGTCCATGTTGATTTAAAAGTGATTAGAACCCTAGGTTGTATCGTATGATATTATTCTTGGGGTATTGGGTAGGAAATCGCATGTTTGGGTGTTAATTATGTTTAGGAAAGCATGATAGGTTATGTGCCGTATGTTCCTCGCTTTGATCCGTTAATTGTCTACATGTTGTTGTCAATTGTGTTTAAAAGTGTCTAAGCATGGTTCCCGGTTCCACGAAGGTTCCTGGGGCGTTTTTGGTGACGAAAGAGTCAGTGGGGGGTAGGTGGGGGTAGGGGACCCGCCACCTACCCGCGGCAAAAGATGGCGTCGCCAGCAGCGGGCAGCCGGCGGGCGGGCAGCTACCCGCCGGGCACCCGCTACCCGAAAAGGCTGCTACCGGCGGGCAGCCGGCTGGTGAACTCTCACCCACTGGCTACCCACTGGTTTGTACCCCACCTTGGGATTTTGGCTTCCCCGTTTGATGTTCCCCCGACCCCCGTGGTGTCCCAACGGACTCAGTCTATCGTGCCTATGTCTAGTTTGATATTTCAAGTACCATTCGTAGGTTGTATACGTCTTATATATTGCACGCTAGTTGAATTGGTATCCCGTTGACCTAGGTGAAAGAAGTATGAACCCCTTAGGATTATTCTTAGTATGTGAAGGATCACGCATAGGTTTTGTTATACGTTTTCTCCCCCTTCCCAATGTGTTAATGTGGGTTGCATGTGCTAGCTATGTGTTATGTGTGCATGATACCCCAATTCAGTTGCTATCGGATTGGTTATTCCTGAGCTGCGGTCAGATTTACACTCTTGGGCTGCGGTCCACCATTTGGTTGCGATCAAACGTTTTTACATGAGCTGCGGTTCATATTTCCTGGCTGCGGTCAGATGACATACTCTTGGGCTGCGGTCCACTGTTTGGTTGCGATCAAACTATGATGAGCTGCGGTTCATCGGTCAGTTGCGATCGACCCCTCCGTGTTGCGATACGGGGCAGGGTGCTGCGGGGCCGTGTCAGAGCTATATGCGCTGACCCTCATGTATGGGCATGCGATTGATCCTGTGGTGCCAACAAAGTGTGCTATGTGATGATGTATGGATGAGTTGTTGTTATGAGTGTCTTGGGGATGAGACTATGGGACTTATACTGGGGATCGTATATGTTGGGTTATGATTATTAATTGTGCTTACCTTTACCTGTCTTGCCTGTTTGTATACTGTATATGCTTGGTGTAACTGTTGTTTGTGCTTAGCTCTATCTGTCGAGTCTACCCCTGTTTTAAAAGCTAGAGTTCGTAGGATATATCTTCATGTTCAAAATGGTTTTCGTATATCTATATATATCTCTATATGTATTGTATTTCAACGCGTTGGAGTGGGTTACCAGCATCTCTCGCTGAACAGATATATTTGGCTTTCAGGCACAGACGAGTAGATCACTGGAGCGCGCTAGAAGCTTGGGGCGTAACTTAGATAGTTTTCCCTTTCGGCCTGCGTGCCATGATTTAGTATTGATACTGATTGAGGTTTTAGAATTTAGCCTGTGCACCCGAGTTCTCTAGCTCGGGTGTGGCATAGCACCCCGTACTCTTTGTATCGTATTTTGGGATTTAATGAGATTCTATCTTTATTATATAAGTTTTAAAAGTCTTGAAAATCTGGGGTGTTACACCACCGATGGGCAAACCGAAAGGACCATACATATGATTGAGGATATGTTGAGGGCTTGTATGCTAGATTTGCAAGGGTCATGGGAGGACCATTTGGATTTGATCGAGTTCTCTTACAACAACAGCTATCATTCTAGTATACGCATGGCACCTTATGAAGCTCTCTACGGTCAGAAATGTCGTAGTCCGCTTTATTGGGAGAATCTTGTCAATCCGATAGTGTTAGAACCGCAATATTTGTTGGACACATCCGAGAAATTTAAACAGATTCAGGAAAGGATGAAAGCGGCTCAAAATCGTCAAAAGTCCTATGCCGATTTGGCTAGACGACAAGTGGAGTTCTCGGTTGGGGATAAAGTTTGGTTGAAAGTGTCTCCCACCCGGTGAGTAATGCGGTTTGAAAGGAAAGGGAAGTTGAGCCCTAGGTTTATAGGCCCGTATGAAATCCTAGAGAGGGTTGGAAGTTTGGCCTACCGTTTGGCGTTGCCTATGGAGTTAGAAAGTGTGCACAACGTGTTCCACGTATCACAGCTCAAGAGATATGTTCACGACCCGGCTCATGTTTTACCACCGGAAGTAATACCGATAGATGAAGATTTGTCTTATGAGGAGAGGCCGCTCAGAATTTTGGACTTCAAGACTCGGGAGACACGTAGGAAATCCGTTAAGATGGTGAAGGTTTGGTGGACGCATCACGGGATTGAGGAAGCCACTTGGGAACTGGAGTCCACTATGCGGGAGCGGTACCCAGAGTTGTTTGTAAAAGGTACCTTATTTTCTTCGTTTGTTGTTTGCTTTGCGTGCTTGTCTTTGCGTGATGCTTGCGGCTTAGTTAGTTTGGTATCAGAAAGTGGGTGTTTTGTGTTGGTTGTCTAGTTCTTAGTGTTGGGTAGAAGTAGATGTTGGTGTTAAGACTAGAGTTTGTGATGCTCAATCTACCCCTTGTTAAGTTCTTGACAATTCTTGATTTGTTGTGCCTTCTTTCTTGTTTGAAATCCTTGTAGAATCTTTTGAGTTTTGACCAAAATAGTCTATTCTTGAACCTCTTGTGACAATGTTGTTTCCTACCACCGTTTGTTTCTAATTAGTCATACCCAAGCTTCGGGGACGAAGCTTCTTTGAAGGGGGGGAGGATGTGACACCCCAAAAATCCACATTCAATCCATGGATTAATTGAGTAATTAATCCTATCTTAATTAAGGAATTAATTTCCTAATATCCTGATTTTTAATACTCAATGACTAGTATTTGACTAGTCAACTTCAATGTTGTGTTGTACCTTGAGCTTTAAGGGGAGTTCCCTTGTTCCTTACACTTTCCAAATGTTAGTAAGGGTATTCTTGACTTTTCACCAAGTGTTAGTATTGTAACCTAACCTAGAAGACATCTTCATTTCATCCCTTACACTTTCTAAAATATTAGCTCTACCTTCTCTCTAGAAAGGTGAGTAGCTTTTCCTCCAAGCTAAGTTGAGACCTTGTCAAGATTCCAAGATTTTCTTCCAAGATTTAACCTTTCACCTATTTGGGCATCTAGGAGGGTAAAATATAAGTCCACCTTGTGTTTTTGGTTCCATCTTAGATGTCTTTTTCTTAAAAGTAGGATCTTTATGATCTTTTAGTTTGATCTTGAAGTGGGTTTGGAAAGTAAGCCTTGTGGGGAACTTGTTGAGGTGTAAAGTGAAGTCTTTGAGTCTACAAGAGGTAACACATGCTCTACTAAAACCTACTTTGCTTACCTATATGTGATTTCTTGGATTCTACTTGTGCTTTGCTATGAAATGTGGTGCTTATGCATTTGTCTTGTGAGAATCCATATCTAGAGCTTGTGTTTAGGGTTCTTTTGTGCCATTGCTTGGCATTTCCTATGATTCAAGTCATTTTGTTGTATTGGGTGAGATTTGGCATGTTTTGGACTTGAATTCGAGTTTGGAGATAAAAATTCCCAAAGGGATTTTATTGCACAGGAGTATGTACCCGCGGGCGGAATGACGGGGAGAGCCCTACCCGCCGCCCACCCGCGGTACATTGGCTTGTGGGTAGTGTACCCGTGGGTCCACCCGCGGGGAACACAGTGGTTATGTAACGGGATTTGTTCCCCGTGATTCGTTTGGCATGGTATTTGGTGTTTTGACTTTCCGATGTTTTTTTGTGGAACTATTTGAGTGTCTTCTTGATGTTTTGTATGTCTAGAACTATATGGCAGGTATCCGTGTAGGACTTTGGTGTCTTGAATCGTGCTAAGTGTTCAACATCGTGTTTTGTTGAACCGTGAAGTGTCTTGTGTGTTCCTCGGAACTATCTTGGGTTTCCCCGTTGATAAGCATGCTAGTTTGCTATCTAAATGCTAGCGTGTGTGTTGTTTGTACCTTCCGATTGGTTGATGATAACTTGTGTTATTCATCGTTGTGGTTGTTGGGCTATGTCCCATTCCTTGATTGTGTATCTTTCATACATTCGTTGTAATCCGTTGATTGATTCCTGTTGAGGTGTGATGTGTGAGTGGCTTTACCTGGATTGCACGATTAGTGGTATGGGACACTAGTCACCAAGGTATTGCAGCGGTCCTCATGGTGGCCGTGACGTGAATATGGAGTTGTGACCTATGTGTCAGGTTCACGTATTTCTTGGGAAGGCATGTGTTGTCGTGTGTGTGTACGGTACATTGTGTACTATGAAATCGGTGGCTTTGTCGGAGGTCTGTTGGAGGGGTAACGACGGTTCCCGGGGGAATAAGGTTGGACTTGGAGTACAGGGGTCCTGGAGGTAAAGGTTGGAACTAGATATAAGGTTGGGGGTAGCCATAAGGTTGGAACATGGCATAAGGAAGGCATATCAATTCGTGATGTGTGATGTCACGAGGGCTTGTGTAGCCGTGGTTGTTTGTTCTCCCTTGTGACGTGTGTAGTCACAAAGGCATGTGTTGCCTAGGCATGTGTTGCCGTTTGTCGTGTCTTTATCCTTGTCGTGTTGTTCTTGTGGTCTCGGGATGTTGAAACACCCCGAAATTTTGGAACTTTTAAAGCTTATATAATAAAGATAAATCCTCATTAAATCACGAAATATAACATAAGAGTATGGGCTGCTATGCCACACCTGAGCTAGAGAACCCAGGTGCACAGGCTAGCTAACTAACTAAAATCCTCAATGATGTCAATACATAAGTATGGCACGCAGGCCGAAAGGGAAACTAGCTATTCTACGCTCCAAACCTCTAGCGTGCTCCAGTGTCTACTCATCTGTGCCTGAAAGCCAAATATATCTGTTCAGCGAGAGATGCTGGTAACCCACTCCAACGCGTTGAAATAAAATATAGGTACATATAGATATAGATATAGGAAAACCATTTTGAAGCAAGAAGATATATATTGTAACACCCTGTGTTACGGCCTTCAATCCCGAATTAATTATTTAATTAATTACGTTAATAATAATTAAAAAGGATTTAATTTGGTTAGGATTCCCTTTAATTAATTAATATGGTCCACCATGGGGTGTGGACCCTTGCCTAAACTAGAGTTTTAAGCCTATTAGGAATAAAGAGGGTAAACCTTTTACTAATCAGATTCTAATTAGGAATCCTAGACTTTTTTTTTTGAAAGGTGGCCAATAAGGCATATATTAAAGGTACTCAGAAATAGAGTCTGGAGGGACATCGTCCGAATACATAATCGTAGAAGAAGTCGCTAAACTATGAGCTAAATAGTTCTCTGATCTAGGAATGAAATTAACTGAACAATTATCGAAAGAAATAATGCATGCTCTACAAGCATCAATGGCATAGCCAACGTAAGTCCGAACTGTGATAGCTTGATTTGTCAAATACTGTTGCAGGGTCAAACAATCTGTGAGTATGTGTACCGAACGTTCCCCACGATTCCATAGCCAAGATAAGGCTTCCTTACATGCTATTGCCTCAGCCATAAGCGGGGAGAGACAATTCGACAAGGGTGCACTGAAAGCCGATACATATCCCCTTTCCTCGTTGAACAAAACCGCACCAACCGTAGCCTTTCCTGTAGCAGGCATGAATCCGGCATCGACATAACATCTCCGTCCTGGTTCGGTTGGCTCCGTCAGTATGCTCTCTTCGGCAGTCACGGTATTGACCGTGTGTTGGTGCTGCTGCTGCCGTGTTACAGCAGTGGCAGTAGTATGGCCTTGTGCAGCAGTCCGGCGGTCCATTCGTGGGTATGTGTGGTGGACTGTTTGCCATGCAAGTGCGGTAGCTTCGGCCATGGCTAACACTTTCCGTGGTCGCGGTAGGCACGCATCCCATACCGTTCCGTTCCTGGCTCTCCAAATATGATATAAAATAGCAGCTGCGTGAACAATTTGGTTAGTGTCTAAAATATTTAATAGATCACTAAACCAAGTATGAAAAATATTTGTTGCCATCATGGGGATTGGGAGGTGAGATTGCGCCCAAATGGAACTTGCATAACCACATGTTACTAAAGCGTGCATTGTGTCTTCATCCATTATCCCACACATAGCACATGTTGGTTGTACTTCCACCCTCTTTATAATCAAATTTGCTGTAGTAGGGAGGATACCACTCAAAGCCTTCCACAAGAATGTTTTCCATTTGGGGGGTACTTTTAATTTCCATAGGCGCAACCAATTATGAGTCCCTGTATTATCATTGAGACTTCCCACAACTGTTTTGTAGCCACTTTTAACAGTATAATTACCTCCCTGATCACCATGCCAATACCACATATCCTCATAATCCGGTGATATTGGGATCTTTTTCATCCTAACCACATCCGCAGGAATAAAAATATCTGCCAAAATATCCGGATCCCAGGTCTGTGTCTCATGATCGATTAATCCCACCACTGTTGCATTATTCAAATATTGGGGCCTATCAGTATGAACCATTGGGTCTTGTTCATCTTGCAACCATGGGTGGTCCCAGATTAGGGTTGTCTTTCCATTTCCAATTCTGCGCCTCGTTCCATTACAAATCATGCTCTGCGCTGCCATTATACTGCGCCAACAGAAACTGGGGTTATTTCCTATCTTAGCATCATAAAAGGTCCCTTTTGGGTAATATCTCGCTTTGTAAACTCGTGAGACCAAAGAGTCAGGCTTTGTTAGAAACCGCCATGCCTGTTTGCCCAACATCGCTATATTAAAAGCATGTAGTTCTTTGAAACCCAGGCCCTCCCAAGCCTTCCAATGGATTCCACGTTCATTCCCAGATCCCCACTAATATCGGTTCATGGTTCGCTCAATAGCAGTGCAAATCCCCATAGGTAATAAAAAGACACTCATTGAGAAAGTGGGCATTGCCTGGGCCACACTTTTCAACAAGACTTCCTTACCAGCTTGCGATAATAACTTCTTATTCCAAGATAAGATTCTCTGTCTTATCTTATCCTCAATATACGAAAATGCTGCCTTCTTATTCCTTCCTACAAATGAGGGGAGTCCCAAATATTTCCCAAAGTTTGGTGCTTGAGTAACCCCAAGTATCTGCGCCACTTCCTCTCTATTATCATCCTGTGTATTCTTGCTATAGCATATGCTGGACTTATGATAATTTACCACTTGGCCAGATAAATTTTCATATCGTGTCAAACATTGCTTTATTGCATTTGCTTCGTGCACATTTGCTTTAAAAAATAAAAGGCTGTCATCGGCAAAGAATAAATGTGAAATAGAAGGTGCACCCCTTGCCACTCTGCACCCATGAATCGCTCCCCGTTCCTGTGCCTGTTGTAACAATAAAGAGAGCCCCTCTGCACAGATAATAAACAGATATGGGGATAACGGGTCACCTTGCCTGAGTCCGCGAGATGGGATATTGGCAAACCCCGGACTCCATTCAGTTTGATATTATACGTCACGGTAGTCACACATAGCATGATT